ATATATATATATATATATATATATATATATATATTGACTCAACGCCCAGAGAATGGCAGTCAAACACACAGGCGCCAGACAGAAACTCCTGCATGATGTGATCGTCTCCGTTACAGAGGAAGTTTTGCGCTATTCGGCACCATCCTGGTGGTTCAAGACTCATGAAGACATTTTATTGTGGGAACATTTCGGTTCCGGGATCTTGTTCTCTCCTTTATAAAGGAATTTCGACCTTTTTTTTCCTTAATAGACCCAGGGAAATGCGACTTTGTTTCTTCATAGGCGCTAGAAATTTTTTTCTTCATAGGCCCATGGAATTTTTATTTTTTTCCATAGGATCACGGAATTTTAAATTTTTCTTTATTTGAACCGGAACTGTAAATTTTTTTCTTCATAGGCCCATGGAATTGTGACATTTATTATTCACATTGGTACGGTTCTACAACGTTTCTGCTTTATAGGACCGGCTTGTGCAAGCTTATATCAAAACCACGTTCCGCTCAAAAAGATTTATATTAGGCAAAACGCTGTCACGTTAAAGACTTGTCCCCTTCTAAGAGTCTTTCTAAGCCATGAATGTCGGCCTTCCAGCAGGCTCTGGCTGCTTTTTATTGCCCTATCTGTACAAATTGTGTTACCTACAGTTTATTTACATTTTAGTGGGGGAAGCGCTAAACACGTATGGATCATGCAGTGCCTTGACTATGGAAGGTATTCAGGTTTGAGCCATGGGATGGGGGAGATAAATCCAGCTTCTGGAATCAAGAGCCCTTCAAGGGCATCAAGATACCTCCTCTGAAGGGTGGGGGGGAGAGGGTTAATACCGACAGACACTGTCAGTTATATGTTTTATTGGTATATCAAACTCGCAGTTTCATAATATAACGTCACATCTGCATATGGAGGTTATATTGCTTATATATGCATTATACAGAATCATATATTGGTGGATATCTACGTAGAAGGTGTCTCACCTGATCGAAGGCTTCCAGAGGCATGCCAGGGACTTCAGTGGTAATCAGAAGGGCATCGAGATATTTTCCCACCTCAAATTTTACGATGCTGTCTTTTATATTCAACACTGAGACCAGGGATTTTTTTTTTTTGTAATTGAAGTCTCTTGAATTTCATAATGATCTTGCCAGATGCCAAAGGTTCAAGAAAGTGTTTTAAGATCCGGCAGAAAAGGACAGCCCAGCACATAAGCGTAGAATGTCGGGTAATAAACAATGACATGTCAAGAATCGAGAATGACTCCACAAACTCCCAAACGTTTTCTTATACACAAAGATAACTTTTACTTGTATTTGCGGCAATGTTTTTAGCTAAGCTCTGGAAACTTCCTCACAAATTAGCCGCATAAATCAAGCACACTTAACAAAAACAAATTTAGATACAGAACGTTTCATGATCAATAAAAAATATATTTTATGGGATTTTTTTTCTCAGGAATAACTTATTCAGTGTTATGGAAACTTTCACGGTCATTGAAATTTACTAATTATTAAATGCGTGTTCCCTATGTGACAACAAAATTGGAATCTGTTATAGTTCAACAGTTTATTTTTCGGTTTAACATCAATAAAAAAAACGAAACAGTTCCCGTCGTATTAGCCCACAGAGACTGGGTGTTAAGGAAAATGTAAATTGGGTAGACTCACGAAAAAACGCGTTTGGTCATAGCTCATTACTGTCCATGGTCACAACGCTGCTTACTAAATTAGTTGACCTCCTAGCTGCTAACTTTGATAAGATTAGAGTCAGGATCCATGAGAAGCTGGCACCATCTGGCAGTACCCTCTTCGTGATCGTTTCGGTAACTGACAGGAGCTACCTTTCACTCGATACAGCAGCTGGCAGTACTTACTTCAAACGCTGCAGCAGCTGGCATTACCTACTTTAGACGTTACAGCAGCTAGCAGTACCTACTTTAGACGATGCAGCAGCTGGCAGCGCCTACATTAGACGCTGCAGCAGCTGGCATTACCTACTTTAGACGTTACAGCAGCTGGCAGTACCTACTTTAGACGATGCAGCAGCTGGCAGCGCCTACATTAGACGCTGCAGCAGCTGGCAGTACCTACTTTAGTCGGTGCAGCAGCTGGCAGTACCTACTTTAGTTGCAGCAGTAGCTGCTTTAGTCGCAGCAGTAACTTGTAGTACCTACTTTAGACGCTGCAGCAGCTGGCAGTACCTACTTTAGTAGCTGCAGCAGCTGGCAATGCCTGCTTTAGATGTTGCAGCAGCTGGCAGCACCTACTTTAGTCAAATCAGTAGCTGGCAGTATCTGTTTTAGTCGCAGCAGTAGCTTGTAGTACCTACTTTAGACGCTGCAGCAGGTGGCGGCACCTACTTTAGTCACAGCAGTAGCTGGCAGTACCTGCTATAGTCGCAGCAGTAGCTTGTAATACCTACTTTAGACGTTGCAGCAGCTGGCGGTACTTACCTTATTCTCAGTAAAGCAACTAGTGGTATCTACCTTACAATAGCTACAAAAACCAATGACTGATTCATGGACACGCCTTAGCACATTTTCAGTCCATCAAGAACTTTGAGACTCGTTGTTTTCCTCTTAAAATATAAACATGGCACGTATACCACACATTACATTTCATACACTGACCTCAATTCCTAACCTCCGAGTTATGAAATCTCCTCTCTCCTAAACTCACCTCAGCAAAAAATTCTTGTACTTTGCCTTCCCTCTAATTCCAGTCAACAAAATCTTACCAACACCCTCCATCCCCCGGGTATTAAACTTACATTTCGCCAACCTTCGTAGGTTAGGTTAGGTAAGGTTTGTCAGGAAACAGGGTGAGTGTTTCCTGACGCCGGTCTCAGTCATATGATGACCCACAGCTGGAGCTTTTGGTCGTGTGACCAAGGCCTTCCGCTGGTTTACCAGTTCACCCTTTTAACAATTATGGCTATACCTATAACCATTAGATTTTTGCCAAAAGTAATCTAATTCATACTTCCCCTGCCTCTGATAATTCCAGTGTCTGTTCCATTTCCTGCCCCGTCTCTCCTCTCCAAAATTATAGAGCTCCAACCAGGAATTACTCTTCACTGAAGAGGTTAGTGCCTCTGTAGCAGAATGCCAAGTAGATCTGAGGACTGAATTATTACATTTGTTTATTACGAATTTTCGGATCATTGACAAATGCTTCAGAAGAGAAGAGGTCTCTAGACCCATCATAAGCTGCTGCTGTGTGCCTAGAGTAGCAGTAATGACCAACACTAAACTTTCCGGTAAAAAGCATTTCTTGGTTGGAGCAGTGCTTATCACCCTCTGCAGTACAATGGTACATCACCTGTCTGAAGATAAATGCAAGGCGGTGCCTAATCCACAGGGTCCAGGGTCGTAGGCTACATATGAAAAGCAAAGGATACTATATTTGTTTTGAGAGATTCAGAAGAGAGTTTGGACGGTTAAACAACCTTGAGGAGTATCAGCCAGGATTATCTACGGTTGTACCCTTGCTGTTTGGTATACATACCTAGAGGTGTGCATGTCTGTATACATTGAAAGTATACTTTTATCCCTCTTTTATTGAAGTATTCCTGACTGGTGGTGTACACGTAAAATGCAGCAATAAAAATCCTCGCGCAGTCGATGGGCTTTAGCCTAACTTAACCTAACCTAACAGCCTACTCAACCACTGCTGCTGGCAACCTAACAGCCTACCCAACCACTGCTGCTGGCAACCTAACAGCCTACCCAACCACTGCTGCTGGCAACCTAACATCCTACCCAACCACTGCTGCTGGCAACCTAACAGCCTACCCAACCACTGCTGCTGGCAACCTAACAGCCTACCCAAGCACTGCTGTTGGCAACCTAACAGCCTACCCAACCACTGCTGCTGGCAACCTAACAGCCTACCCAACCACTGCTGCTGGCTGGGGACATTGGTACGGCTCTGTTACTACCTTAAATCAGCTGTCGTTCAAACACATCCCTCTTAATGAAGACTGACGCCCGAGATCACTCAACAGCCACTCAATAATGGCCGTCATGAAGCCTTGGTCATGGCAAATGTTGGTCACTTGCTCAATATTTTATTTGTTGCTCTTTATTTAACTAAACGTAGGAAGCTATTTTATATTAAAAGCTGTATCATTGTATTATGCTGCTTTACGAAACCTTTGACGTGTCTATAATCTGTAACATACACATGTCTGTATGTTGTGAACTGCTGATATTTAACTGGACATCAAAATGACTTTTCCTCATATTTACATATTTCCTCTTGAGAAAATGTTAGTAAGGTAGAGAATAAGTCGCACTTCCGCGGCTGGAACAATTTACAATTAACTCACAGTTTGGAAATAATAAATAAATCAACGAGTTTCGGACTATCCTGCATCATTTCCAAGACAAGTTTGTTGTGATACGCAAGTCGAACGTGAAAAGCAGTGACACCAGCTCAGAGAAACGCAGCTAGTTCCCTCTCTCCACACAGAGCCACGAGGGAACGTTGCATTCTATCATACAGAATAATGTAGCAGCAAGCTGTGTAACTTTCGTACACATTAGGATAGCCGCAAATTACGACTGCTTTAGCAGTGCATGTATCATTTAGAATAGGAGACGGGCAAGTTGAAAGTCTCCTCCCTGTAACTGTTACGAAGAATGCCGTATTATCATAATGTGAGTGTTTCCAAAATACAGCTCTCATATAAATTAGGTTAGTAGAGCACTACGAGTGTGCTGATAACATGTATTGTTATTTTGTTAAAAACAAACATGAAAAAAAAACATTGGTCATGATGATGCCACTCGTATACAATCAACTTGTTACCTACTTAGTACCCACTTTCGTCCCTCGGGTACTACCGCCTACTGCCTTGAAACTCAAGGTACCTTACGTAGAATCACACGCCAGATTTATCACCAAACCTGCTTCTTGGGAAATCTGAATTTTATTTATCAACAAAGGTTTGAGAGGAATGGTTCCCTGGCAGTGGATGGCATCTGTGTTTAGTGGTGAATGAGGGTGATGTTGGTAGTGGACACCCCTCCCCCATGCTTCATAACACCCATAACACCAGTCAACGCAAGGGACAGAAGAGGAGGAGGCAACACCTTGATTGCTGCTACTGTCTGTGTGCTCCTGTGGCGGACCCAGAGGTAGGCTTCCGATTATTATAATTGTGGGGAAGCGGAGCCTGGTGAACGGGAGTTAACTAGGTTCGATCCAGGGAAGCGCAGGGTAGCTCAAATTCCTTGGATCAGGAGCCCTACATTAAGACGTGTGTATTTTCCTCAGTCCGTCAGCATAATATTCGCCTTGTGCATATAAATAAAGAATATAATGCTTTAATGAATTTGTCTGCAGACCAAAGGAGAGGTGTTAATGTTGCAGTTTAAAAACTGTAGTGTAAAGCACCATTCTGGCAAGACAGTGATGGAGTGAATGATGGTGAAAGTTTTTCTTTTTCGGGCCACCCTGCCTTGGTGGGAATCGGCCAGTGTGATAATAAAAAAAATAATATAAATAATAATATATATATCAGTGACATATTGGAAGAATTCTGTACTACATACTTACAATTATCCTATATTTTTATTGAAAATAATTTGCACAGTAAAATATTCAAGACAATATAGATGAGAAAAATTATCATTATAACGCCAAGATATACATTCTCTTGTTTCTGTTCTATTTTGAGATTAGTTCTTTCGTATGTTTTCTTGACTTCAGAGACGGTGTAAGTGAACATATGAGGGTAGAGCATCCTGGTTGCAATCCTATAATTTTTTTTTTCAAACTTTATTGAGACTGAAGGAACAAAAGTGCTGTAGTGTGACCTTTTGGCCTGGTGTTTACCACACGTGCGTGGAGGAACGGGACCATTGACGTGTGTATGCATATTTACACACATTAGAGAGCGAGATGCCTCCAGACAGCTTCTAAAACTCGCATTTTACAGAAGCACAGATGCTAACTCGGAAAATATGGCACAGTAGAGTCACTAACTTGTACCTCTGATATACCTTTGAAGAGTTTCGAGAGTTTCAATACTCTCGGAGCCCGGCAATGTGAGCCTTAAACGATCTCTGTATTTGTTTCAGCTCTGATATTTTTCCTGCTTTGAACGGGGCCGTCAGCACTGAGCAATATTCTAAATGAGGGAGCACTAGCGATTCGAGGAGTGTCATCATCGGCACTATTTCCCTTGTTTTGAAAGTTCTCAATACCCACCCCGTCATCTTCCTGGCTGTCGTGGTCTTTGTCTCGTTATGGTTTTTAAAAGAAAGGTCAGCTGACATAATTATTCCCAGGTCTTTTACGTGTTCCTTTCGTTCTATTTGGTGACCCTCTTGAGTTTTGTATATAGTGTTCCTTTTGAGTTCTTCGTTCTTTCCATACCTAGGCAGCTGGAACTTATCACCACTGAACGTCATGTTGTTCTCCACTGTCCACTGGAAAACCCTTCTTATGTCATCCTGTAATTTTTCAGTGTCCTCTACCGTAGTGACTTTCATGCTTATCTTAGTGTCATCTGTAAAGGATGATATAAAAGTGTGCCGGGTGTTTTTGTCTATGCTATGAGGATGAGAAACATCAGAGGTGCCAGGACAGTGCCTTGGGGGCACTGAGCTATTTACCTCACTGATGCCAGATCTGACTCTGTTTACTACTACTTTTTGTGTTCTGTGTGTTAGGAACCCAAAAACCCATCTGCATACCATCCCCGTAATGCCCATGACCCTCGTTTTGTGCGCTATCACTCCATGATCGCATTTGTCAAACGCCTTTGCAAAATCTGTGTAAATCACATCTGCGTTTTGGTCGCCTTCCAACGCCACCGTAATTCTGTCATAATGGTTCAGCAGCTGTGACAGGCATGATCGTCCTGCTCTAAAACCATGCTGGTTCGGGTTATGCTGGTCCGTGAAATATGTAATCTGCCGTCTCATCACTCGATGGTTTTTATGATGTGAGAAGTTAGAGATACTGGTCTATAATTTTTAGCTAGTGCTCTGCTACCTCCCTTATGCAACGGAGCTGTCTGCACTCTAAGGCCACCGGTATTTCACCTAGATCCAAGCTCTTTCTCTAAAGAATACCGAGGGCCTATGGCCTGGTTCTTGGCTCCCGAGTCCTCCCGTTTTACAGTTGCTATCTAGACATTTCTTTTTTCTAGGTCGTGAAAAAATCTAAATTATTTTAATTATGCTCTTTAGAGAAAGCAGGATTCCGGACCCACAACCAGGAATTTATTTTTATCAAGTCACTGGAAGGCGTTAAATCCCCCAGCATAAACCTGTCACCAAGTCAGGTCCAACAAAAATTAAGCAACCTAGTGAGGTTGGAACAAAGTCTTAATAAGAGTCTCTGAGGCAACTTGCCAAGGCCTTGGATGATACTCTCCTCCACAATTGCCCCAGTAGCAACAGCCTGAATGGTCAGACGGGTTTAACGTAAAGCGAAATACAGTGCCTTGGAAGAGGTTACACAAGGCTACAATAACATTAATTGTTGCTTCTAT